TTATAGGATTACATTCAAAGTTTAGATCTAATAAAACTCTCTCCCTCTTGGGAGATTACATTCGAATTAGGACTCTAGACTCTTGCATCCGAGTTGGGCTTCTCTGCTACTTGGGCTGCTTCCAGGTTCTTCTGCGAGTTGGGCTTTAGTTGTTAAATGGGCCTAGCTGCGAACTTGCTCCGACTTTGGGCCCGGTTTCTTACTCGATGCGGACCGAATCAGTCAAAACCCAAAATATAAAAGTTGTGGGCCTTTCTTTCTTCTTTCTAATGCTTATTGAATTGCCCAATTCAGAGTCCGGAATTGTGAGTTAGGCCCAGATCACTGACTGTCACCGAAACTGTGCAAAAATCACCCGAATTGGTCTGTTTCCTTCCAATTGCCTTCTTTATTGCCCTRAATCGAAATACAAGAGTAATGAGTGCATTTAAGTGCTAAAGTAGTGTAAAAGGATGAAATTAAGGGGACAAAATAAGGTTCTTCTAAGTCTCATCACTCGGCTTCCCATTGTTGGTGATTTCCGGTTGAAGCCTCCTCGACCGCAATGTACTTTTGGGCTTTCTTGAGGAACTCCATCTTGGTCTTCGGCGGAGTCTTGGCAACCGAGCACTTCAAGGCCGAGCCAGGGCGGAGCCCATTGATAGTAGCGTGCATAGAGACCATGGGGTTGAGGTCATGGACCTCGAGCTCTTCTTTTTTAAAGCGGTTAATATAGGATTGCAGACTCTCTCCCTGCTTCTGCTACTGATGAATCGAGCAAGGAATAAATTGGTGAACTGCTCCTATGAGCTGATTGAGTGAGGTGGGAGACTGGAGAACCAACGACGAGCAACCCCCTTGAAAGTGGCCTAGAAAGTCTGGCACGTCAAGGCGTCGAAATACCAATAGAGTATCATGAGCACTCTAAAATTTTCCAGGTGGTCATCGGGGTCTGAATTCCCATCATACATCTCTAGCATGGGAGTTTTGAAGTGCTGAGGGAGAGGCTCGAAGATGATATCCAGGGTGAAGACGTCCATATTCCCCGTCAGATTGCTCTGGCTGGCTGAGGCATCAACTCGGTTCTCCTGAACTTGGCGGAGCTCGTCCTTGATGGCCCTGAGCTTGGCTTGTAGTTCTGCAATCTGAGGGTCGGGCAGAGCATGCTCCCTGTCTCTGTCTTTGTGGGTCTAACGGAGGTTGGCACAAACTTCGAAGTACTCAGAGGCATGACCGCGCGCCTCCCATTTGGCATGGCGGGTCATTCAAGACATCGCGGCGGTCCGAAACTGGCAGTTCATAGGAATGAATCAGAATACTTACATAGGATTCCCGACCACTCAATGCATTCTCATCCTAAAATTCATCCGGTAGATGGTAATAAGACAGGGGGATAATCAGTTTATGGCTGATGTCTTTGCTTGAGGACAAGCAAAAGCTTAAGTGTGGGGTGTTTGATGTGTGTGCAAATTACACATAAATTTTGATGTTTATGCATGGTTTTGATGTTGATTTGTGTAAATTCTTACCCCAATTCAACTTGATTTCAGGAAATTATCAAGGGAGACCAGCTTAGGGGAAAAATAACATAAAACCATGGAAAAGAGGCCAAGTGGAGGCAATTCAGCCTAGCTGGGAGAAAGGCCCAGCCAAGAAGCCTAAGGAGGGCTATTCAGCCCATGAAGCCTAGGCAGCACTCCATGGGGGAACCCAAGGAGAGAGTCTAGCCCTCCAAGGGAGCCCATTCGACCCAGCAAGAGGGAGGCCCATGTACAGCTCAAGAGCAACCCAAAGTGCAGCCCCAAGAGCCTAAAGGTGGCAAACTTTCTAGAAGAGAGAGAGAGGGATGAGGAGAATATATAAGGAAAATAGAAGGAGGGAAAAGGGGTTCAAAACTCCTTTGGTTCGAAATTCTTTTGGGAGAATTGAGAGAGAGGCACGCAAGAGAGAAGAAAGGGGAAGATTCAAGAAGCTTCAAGAGAAGAAGAGGTGCTGAATTCGAAATTGGAAAAGAAGACATTGGAGGAGATTAATCTAGGTTGTCTTCTTCCTTGAATTTTGCGCAATTGGTAATCGAATTCAGCTAGGGTTCATGTGTATTTTCTCCATTAATTCTTCTTTCTTGCAGTAATTGAATCATGTTTCATGTAATTTCATATCTCTAATTAGTTCGCTAGGGTTATTCGAATTGGTTAGATTCAATTTTGATGTTTCTTGATTAGGATTTTAATTGTTAGAATAGCTAGCCGAATTAATCTTGAATGCTAGACTGTCCGAATTGCTTGATGAAAAATTTAGACAATCTGATTGGTTGAACTGTTCTTCATTCTTGGAGTTTCTAGATTGCTTGAGAAAGAGTTTAGAAATTCGGATATGCTAATCAAGAACCGAATTGAGTGCAAGGTTAGAGATAACCTGGGTATGTTGGGACAGTCCAAGAATTCATATGAGTGAGTAATCATAGTGACAGGATCAGCCCCTTTGTCGGACAAAGGTAATGATCAGGGATGCACCTTCTCTGATGGAAACCAAAACTGCCGGCAGTTGATTTCAATCGTTGAAATTTGTTTTGCAAAATATATTTATATAGAGATATACATATATACATAATGGTTTCAAAAGGTTTTAATTCCTGGGATCCATGTGAGTAGAGAGTGCAGCATTGTTCCTTGCAGCCGAGGGAGATGTCCTCTCTTGTCGGGTAGTGTTTGATCATTATGGGCTGAGAGGTTAAGTGTGAGACCATTGAGGGTAATACCTGATGGGCTAATATTGCATCTGCCCACGGTCCTTGGGTTTTTATAAGGTGGCTTGGCCCAGGGACCACTTAATGTAAGTGTTGGGCCCATTAGGAGCCCATGTGATGGGCTTAAGGGGTTCACTCTCTTTTTCAGTGAATTCGGCCAGGCCTTGTAACAGAGGCTAGGTTGAACCCATGTGGATGATGTGTAGATCAATGTTTGGGTCCCACGCCATACAATGTAATCCAACTGGGCAACAATTTGGAATGTTAGTTGAGCACATGGACTTAATGGGCCTAAAGCCCAATTCGAACTGGTTTAATTAGATTAATTAAAGAGGGCGGATCTGGGATTTGGATTAGCATATAAGATAAGGGATTATTCTTATCCACTCAGAGAGTCCAGATCCAAATACATATTTGGATTTGGAAACTCCTAATAAGATTATGAGGGCTGATTTAATCTGCATATAAGATAAGGGCTTATCCTTATCTCTTAAAGAGATTCCATATCCAAATAAGGATTTGGATTAAGAAACTCCTAATGGGATTAGGAGCTGATATCTTTAAGGCTATAAATAGAAGAGAAGGGCGGACATCCAAGACCCTGAATTCAGATTACAGAAAGAGAGAAGACACCAACAATAAGACTGCGCCATCTTCTGCTCTTGCGCCCTCCTCCTGCTACCGCCATTGTCAGTTCATCCTCCACCTGTAGGAGCGATCAAGAAAGGTTCTTGATATCAGTTTTTGGTGAAAAACTTATTTGAAATCGTGCTCACATACCCTCCATCGAATTCTTGCTGAAGAATTCGGTTATTGTAAAGAACCACTGCTGATTTTGCTCCATCCTACATTGTGTTATCTTCAGTGGGAGCAGTCTTTGGCCTCTCATTGGGCGTGAACACCTTCGTTGGGAGTTATTATTTCTCCGTATCAGGTATCTCCCTCTCCTACCTTTTGGTTTCAAATCTGGTTCGGTTCTTGGTTCAAGATTGATCCTTGAAAAATGCAGCTTTTCTAAAATAGAGAATATGATTCCCAGATGGGAGAGAAAGAAATTTTTGAAATTTCGCCCTACCTACCTACAAGGTTCGGCTATCCATATGATGGATCTCTCATCCCTTCAGTCTGAGAGAGCACAAGTTAGGCGGCAGCAAGGCCTTCACAATGTGGACACATATACAACTCTATCTACGCAAATAGGTGCACTCAGCAAGAAAATATATGAAATGCAAATGACAGCCATGCATGTTCAGTCCGTCACTTGTGAATGGTGTGGGCGAGGCCATATCAGCACTGAATGCCAAGTTGGCAATCAGTTGCAGTCCCCAGATCAGGGAGACTTTGTTGGCAACTTTCCAAGGTAGCAAGGAAATCAGTACCCTCAGGCCTTTAACCCCGGATGGAGGGGCCACCCGAATCAGTCATGGCCAAATCAGACTATGTCGAAGCCTTTTCCCCAAAACTTTAATCAGCCGGAAAAGAAGACAAACCTAGAGGAGTTGATGACCAAGTTCATAGCAGGTGTTGAAACAAGATTTCAGAACCAAGAAGCATCAATAAAGAACTTGGAGAATTAAGTCGGGCAATTGGCACAAATGATTTTAGCAAGAATACCGGGCACTCTACCTAGCAACACCGAAGTGAACCCAAGGGAGCAAGTGCAAGCTATCACTTTGAGAAGTGGTAAGGAGCTGTATGAAGTGGAGAATAAAGCAAGGGTTGAAAACAAGGTAGATGCAACCCTTCAAACAGGAAAGAAGGAGGAAGAGCAATTTGAACCGAAGAAGGAGAGACACCAACAGCCACAAGTACCCTTCCCGAATAGGTTAAAGCAACACAAATTGGAGAAAGAATTCGGTAAGTTTCTTAAAGTGTTTAAAAGTTTACATATTAATATTCCGTTTGTTGATGCTTTAGCCCAGATGCCACACTATGCAAAGTTCTTGAAGGAGATATTGGCAAACAAAAGGAGATTGGGAGATGTGGCTACAGTTGCTCTCAATGAAGAATGCTCAGCAATCCTTCTCAACAAGCTGCCCCAAAAGCTTATTGATCTAGGGAGTTTCACTATCCCTTTAACTATAAGGAGTTTGAAAATTGAAAAGGCATTATGTGAGGAGCTAGCATAAACTTCATGTCGTACTCAGTTTTTAAGAAACTAGGTTTGGGAGAACCCCAACCTACTAGAGTTGCATTACAATTAGCTAATAGACCCATCAAGCATCATAGGAGAATCATAGAAGATGTGTTTGTTAATGTAGATAAGTTTATCTTGACAGTTGTTCATTGTATTAGACATGCAAGAGGATGTTGATGCTCCTCTTATCCTATGAAGACCTTTCCTAGCTATGGGGAAGGCAATGATTGATGTCTAACAAGGACAACTCAGCTTTAGGATTCAAGATGAGGAAATAATTTTTAAAATGTCTGATGCTATGAAACATGTACCCTCTAGTGATAATTCTTGTTACATGGTTGATGTTATTGATTATGTAGTTGATGATTGCTTTCAGGTAAACAAGTTGGCCGATCCTCTTGAACTTTGCATACAAGAGGGAGGAGCTGCAAGGGAAGAAAATGAAGAGATGTAGAGCATGGTAGCATACCTGAATGCCAATCCACAGTTTTAAGGGAAAGGATTTCTCAAGTTTGAGAGCTTGGACAGACTACCAATACCAACAAGCAAGCATTTAACCCAATAGCCACCCACCCTTGAGCTGAAGCAACTCCCACCTCATTTGGAGTATGCTTTCTTAGTAGCAGCATCAGCTTTACCAATAATCATATCAGCAGCTTTGAGCCCTTTGCAAAGAGAAAAACTGTTGTGAGTGTTACGGGAACACAAGACATCCTTGGCTTGGATGGTGGTCGACATCAAGGGCATCAACCCATCAATATGCACGCATAAAATTTTGATGGAAGATGGAATCAAGCCCTCAGTTCAGCCTCAAAGACGCCTAAACCCGAACATGAAAGAGGTGGTGAAGGCTGAAGTCATTAAGCTACTAGATGTCGGAATTATTTATCCTATCTCTGACAGTTCATGGGTGAGCCCCATGCAAGTAGTGCCGAAGAAAGGTGGCATGACCGTTGTACCGAAAGAAAGAAATGAACTCATACCGACTAGAACCGTCACCGGGTGGCGAATATGCATTGACTATAGGAAGTTGAATGAAGCCACACGCAAGAATCACTTCCCTCTCCCATTCATTAATCAAATGTTAGAGAGGCTGGTTAGGCATGAGTACTACTATTTTTTGGATGGGTATTCAAGTTATAATCAGATTCCAATTGCACCGGAAGACCAAGAGAAGACCACTTTCACTTGCCCTTACGGTACCTTTGCCTATAGGAGAATGCTATTCGGGTTGTGTAATGCTCCAACAACTTTTTAGAGGTGTATGATGTCAATATTTTCTGATATGGTGGAAAAGTTCATGGAGTTTTTCATGGATGATTTCTTAGTCTTTGGCTCTTCATTTGTTACATGTTTGAACAATTTGGAGAAGGTGCTTAGGCGACGCAAGGAGACACATCTAGTGCTGAATTGGGAGAAGTGCCATTTCATGGTGCAAGAAGGCATCGTGCTTGGGCATAAGATTTCATAGAGAGGTATAGAGGTTGATAGAGCTAAGGTGGAGACAATTGAGAAGTTGCCACCACCAACATTCGTCTGATCTGTGATAAGCTTCTTGGGACATGCCGGGTTCTATAGAAGATTTATCAAGGACTTCTCCAAGATAGCTAAGCCATTGTCCACTTTGCTTCAGAAAGATGTGGCCTTTGAGTTCACACCCGAATGCCTAAAAGGATTCAACATTCTGAAGGACAAGCTAATTGGTGAACCCATCATAATAGCACCGGATTGGACACTTCCTTTTGAGCTGATGTGTGATGTGAGTGATTCAGCCGTAGGAGCTGTTATAGGACAAGGAGAGAACTAAGAGATGGCATGATAAGAACTTGTTGAGACGTGATTTTCATGTGGACTAGCAAGTGTTGCTGTATAATTCTCATCTCCGGTTGTTCCTGGGCAAGCTGAAATCGAGATGGTCTAGACCTTTCACCATCACACAAGTTTTCCCGTATGGAGCCGTAGAGGTCACTCACCCGGCACAAGGCACATTAAGGTGAATGGTCACTGCCTTAAGCCATATATAGTGGGTGGAACATTACCTACTCCATTCACTGTATACCTAGATGACCGGTGACCTCACTAGATTGCCAAGCTTCAGATAATTAGTCATAAACTATTTTGTTTTCTATTGTTCCTATTCATGCAGTTGAGTTATTTTTCTTAGGTTGTGAATTGAGTAGATTACTGATCTTTTATAGTGTTCATCATTCTCTCTCTAGTTTTGTGTAGTTATGAGCAGCTAAAGGTTTCCCATCAAAAGAGCTATTGCATAGTTCATAAATACTCTTCAGGGAAGTCCTCCAAACCCCTCTCTCCTTACTTGATGATGCTCTTCATGAAATTACCCTCATTGCTTGACTCATCTTCACTCTCTAACACTAGGAACACTGAGGACAATGTTCATGTTAAGTGTGGGGGAGTTAGGCTGTAGCTATGCACCTCAATCACCCCAACACATACATGCATTGATAGGCCAAATATACTGAAATTTCCTCAAGATTATTGCTGTTTATAAGGTGAATTTCAAGAGGGAATACAATGAGTTGAGGGAAATCTTTGTAAGTGTGAGACTCTAGTCTAGTGCATGATCCAATTTTATCACAATTCATGAGGTTAAGGAAGCTGAATATGACTTTCATCATGACCAGCCCTAACTACCTTCATGTGTATGATGCACTTGATTGAATTATTAACGATCATTCGAGCTAGTTCACATATGAACTATTAATGCATGAGGTTCAACAATTGCAAAAGAAAAAGAAAAAGAAAAGAGAAATGGACAAAGTCTAAATGACTCCGCTGTCATGAACTGAATAGTAAAACTAGCAGTTTATGATATGAGTTTAGTCCCAACTCCGCTATTTCGAGTTGAATAGTAAAACTAACAACTTGGAATATGAGTATTGTTATCTGCCTCTAGCCTGTGACCAGTGTGAGATGGAGAATAAAATGCACTCACACCAAATTACAAAAAAAAAAGAAATAAGAAAATGCTCCGTGTGAGATGGAGCATAAAATGCACTCACACCAAAAAAAAGGGGGGAAATAAAAGAATTTGATGATGGCTGAGGTTAAAAAGGACAAAAGTAGGTTTCACACTCAATTAGGAGCGTTGACAAATTTGAGACCAAGCTCAAAGCAATGGTTAATTTAGCGGTCAAGGAGCTGAATTACATATTAAATGGGAGTGAATGTTGGAGCATGAAGAATCTCATATTCTCCCATTCTTTGGCTCTTATGTATGTGATAAGAATGGCAGTTCATAGGAATGAATTATAATACTTACATAGATTTCCCGACCACTCAATGCATTCTCATCCTAAAATTCATCCGATAGATGGTAATAAGATAGGGGGGATGATCAGCTTATAGTTGATGTCTTTGCTTGAGGACAAGCAAAAGCTTAAGTATGGAGGTGTTTGATGTGTGTGCAAATTATACATAAATTATGATGTTTATGTATGGTTTTGATGCTGATTTGTGTAAATTATTACCCCAGTTTAACTTGATTTCAGGAAATTATCAAGGGAGACCAGCTAAAGGGAAAGATAACATAAAACCATGGAAAAGAGGCCAAGTGGAGGCAATTCAGCCCAACTGGGAGAAAGGCCCAGCCGAGAAGCCTAAGGAGGGCTATTCGGCCCATGAAGCCTAGGCAGCACTCCATGGGGGAACCCAAGGAGAGAACCTAGCCGAAGCTCTCCAAAGGAACCCATTCGACCCAGCAAGAGGGAGGCCCATGTACAGCTCAATAGTAGCCCAAGGAGCCTAAAGGTGGCAAACTTTATAGAAGAGAGAGAGAGAGGGCTAAGGAGAAAATTATATAAGGAGAAAAGAATGAGGAAAAAGGGGTTCAAAATTCCTTTGGCTCGAAATCCTTTTGGGAGAATTGAGAGAGAGGCGTGCAAGAGAGAAGAAAGGAGAAGATTCAAGAGAAGAAGATGATTATATTCTTGGAGTTTCTAGATGGCTTGAGAAAGAGTTTAGAAATTCGGATCTGCTAATCAATAACCAAATTGAGTGCAAGGTTAGAGATAACTTGTACAATTCGGTTGGTGTTCATTCAATTTTGCAATGATGCCCTAGAATTCTTGATCTTAATGCATGCATGATGATTATATTCTTGATAGAGATATAAGAATCATTACTCATGCATAGCATGAGCATGCACTCGAGAGAGATTGTTCATGGCATTGGGGTTTCACCAAACCAAGGCTAAATCCCAATTCAATCGAATGACCTAGAGAATTAATTGCTGAACCAAATCTATTCACATAGAGCTTGTCTCCTCAATTGCATGCAAGGTGTTTGATCCAATGTGCTAGAGATAGTTTGTTAGTTAGAAATGCAGTTTTGGATTAGGTATACATTTCAGTTTATTAGATAATAGATGGATGATACATTACTAGTAGTTGTTATATAAGTCATCGTGGGAACGATACTCTATTCATCACTTTATTAATTGAGCGGCAAGTGTATTTGCTAGTGTAGCAAATACGCATCAGTGGTGTTAATCTTGATGTTTGGCATTTAGAGAGTCTGAGTAAATGCCACATACCTACAGTATGGACAAGCCCAATGTAGATTTTTGAATTCCACTACAGATCTATAAGCATTCAAAATGTCAAAACCCCCCACTCTATTAATGCTTTCGAGTTGGCACCTACCCCAATTGTACTTTGGGCCTAAAAATTTTGACCCTGGGTTGAACCATCATTCTCCCTAAGAGTTAAGGCCTTAAGTCTCCCAAATTTATCAAAAAAAAAATGAAAGAAAAAAACATTCATGTTTGTCTTGTCATTCTCTTGCCTTGTTACAAAATAAAGAAAACAAGGGAAACATTCTCGATTAGTACCCTATACTTTGTACCTAGTGCCACTTTGGTCTCTAAACTTTAAAATGCGATAATTCAGTACTCAAACTTTCAAAACATGACAATCTAGTATTTATCATTAATCAACAGTTAACCTGCTGTTAAGTGGCACTTGAAAAGGACACAAATGCCTTTCCAGTGTCATTTAGTTTTTTTATCAACCATCTAAAGGTTGACAAAAAATTAACAATTCCAAATCATTACTTCTTCCATTCAAAAAAATTAAGGTTATGGTTGTGTGGGCATTATAGTAACCCAACTTTCTTAAATAATATTAATTTTTTGTTAATATTTAAATAATTAATAAAGAAATTTAGATGACACAAAGAGCACATTTATCTTTTTAAAATATCAGTTAACGATTCATTAACAACTAATTAATAATAAGTATTCCGTTGTCACATTTTGAAGGTTCATGTACTAATTTTAGTATTTTAAAGTCGACACAAAGTAAAATATATTAATCAAGAATTTTTTCCAAAAAAGATGTCATTCGACCAGTACAATAATCTGAAATTTTCCATAAAGAAATGTCATTCTCTTGCCTAAAATATCTTTCACTAAGTTTCTTCTATTTATCACGCATTCGCTCTTTTCCACCTTTTTCAAAATCTCTTTCTCTTTCTCCCCGTTATTCGTTGAAGCTTGTGCGAGTATCGGATATCGCCTTTGCGACCCCGCCATGGACCTAGATCTGTGGATTTCGAAGGTCAAAGAAGGGCAGCATTTGATGGAAGACGAGCTTCAACTTTTATGCGAATATGTAAGCTTCTGAACGCCTTATCTTCTAGGAATTTCCTCATTCTGTCATGGGATTTAGCTATTTAGGGTTTATAAACCCTTCTGTTCGTGGTCGAAATTAGGGTTTCACGGACACCTGTAGATATTATGCTGACGAAATTATGAGTTATCAAGCTTTCTTATGCTAATGAATTCTTTTCCTGGTTTGTTATGCATTTGTTTCCTTTTGTTTTCTGCATTTAGGTTGAAATATGCTTAGTGGGTTGTGATCCTAGTTTTAGCTTATACCTTCAGAAGTGTTGTTTGGTTCTTGAGGTAGAGGTAAAAACCCTGACTGATGTCGTTATGTCAATGTTTGGTTCTTGAGGTTAGATGTCTCCGAAAATAGATAAAGCGTCATGGTACCATTTGCCAATGGCTCTGTGGAATGGAGTTGTATGAATTTACATAGAAGATTGAGATTCCAGCATAACTATAGCGTCCACTGGTAACGGACATTCATGATATCTAATATTTGGAAATTCATACCTGCCATCGTCTGCTAACATAGAAAAATCGCTAACCTTAAAATCAGAACATTTCTGTTTATATATCACTCTTCCAAATTGGATTTTTCCCTTTTCATTGAAATGGAGAATTGGAGACATTTTAAAGAGAGACTATGTCTAGTCTGGGTGAAACCCATGCATAAAACCAATGTCAAAAGTGATTTTATAGAGATCCTGGAATCTATAAATATTCCAGGTGTTGAATGTCAAAAGTGTTTAGCCTCTTGGGCGCTTTTTCTATTGTTGTTTTGGGTTCTATCTTAGCACCCTGGTGTTGAATGTACTCATCTTTTTTTTTTTTCTTTTTTAATTTTTAATAAGATCTTTTCTTTTTTTTTCTTATCAAATAAAAGTTATTCCTGTAAGAGGCTATGCAGAACAAAAGGGGAATACTAATTTTTAGGCATTGGCATAAATTAAGTGAAGGTTGTGTCTTTCTCCTTATATACATAGATGCTACCTCTACATTGATCCAGCAGAGCATCCATTTATTATGTTCTCAAATAAGATAATGATAATTCATGAGGAGGTTATGCTGTGAAGGGGATATGATATGTTGTAAAATGTAACAAACCATTCTTATTGGTTTGTGCTGCAAGCATGTACCTTTGTAGGAAATTTTTCTCTTTTTTTTGATGGTCTAGAATCTAATATGTTGGGCATGGTCTCTTGGAAATATAAAATGCATTAGAAAAGGTACCATCTCCTAATGCCTCAAAAATCTTAGAGTTTCTTCTATTTATTTTGTTCATCCCGACCTTTCCAAATCTCTCTCCCTCTTTGTTCATTGCTCATTGAAGCTTGTGCATATCAGATATGCAACTTGACCATGGATCTATCTAGGTCTGTAGATACCTAGGCTCAGTTTGGAAGGAGTACAAATACAAATATGTACAGTGCAATTTATATTTGTACTCCTTCCAAACTGAGCCCTAAGATCAAAGAAGGGAAATATTTGATGCAAGGGGAGCTTCAGAACTATTTTTAGTGCAATTTAGGGTTTATATAACAGTTACAACTCTTTGTGGCTGAAGTTAGGGTTTCAAGATTTCTGTAAATGTTGCGATTTTACTTATAAAAAAACGGTTTTCTGTTGATGTTCCACTTATGAAAGTCTGTTCTATTGATGCTTTTTTTCCTCCAAGTTGGCTACACAATGGGGGGGGGGGGGAGGGGAGTACCCCATCCCGCAAACTCAGGTGCAGCAGGTGGGATTCAACCCCAAGTCTTCACTACAACCAGCCAGTTGACACCTTGTGCTGTTCTATTGATGTTTTGCTAATTATATCATTAATTTTGTAACTTTGTTGGGCATAATGAAACCCCCGCCCACATCTTAACATCTGTCAACTCTCATATAATTTTTTTTCCAGTTTCTATATGCTCATTGTTGGTTTGCTTTAAGTCTTCTTGGTTGTTGTTCTCTCTTTTGTTTCTTGGTTAGGATTGTTGTAGGATATATTCTATAAATTATTGCCTTCTATAAACATATTAATTACTTTCCTGCCATCTCTTGGTTAGTCTTGTCATTTGTTAGTCTTTTCTCTTTTGACATTCATATGCTGATCTTTGCAGGTGAAGGAACTCCTCATTGAGGAGTCCAATGTCCAGCCTGTTAATAGTCCAGTTACTGTTTGTGGTGACATCCATGGGCAGTTCCATGATCTAATGAAACTCTTCCAGACAGGAGGTCATGTTCCAGAGACAAATTACATTTTTATGGTAAATTTTAAATACTTGCTTCTGTTAACTGCTTTATTGTGGGTTTTTTTGTTATGCTTTGTTTATTATCATATTCTTGTTTCCTGTATATATAATCATATAAATCCCTGGCAGGGTGATTTTGTTGACCGTGGTTACAATAGTCTGGAGGTTTTCACAATTCTGTTACTTCTTAAAGCAAGGTATTGATGATATTGTCTTGTGCATTTTGTTTCTGTTCAACAATTAAAATCGTGTCATAGCTTTTGAAATTGTGACATTTGGTGCTTTTTCATTGGTGACTGGAATGAAAAATGTAGAAAATAATATTCTTTCTAATTTTGGCCCAAATATGGTAAACGATAATTTAGATAACTTAGGTAGAACTAAAATATAGATAAAATAAAAATGAAATAGAGAAAAAATATGGGAAAAAAGGGGCAAAGAAATTGGAACAGATGGGAATGCAGTTAGTAGATTGACTTTTTTCCATGAAATATCATATTCTGAAATTTTGGAAAAAATTTGGTTGCAAGCTGGGTTGAAAACATGATATGAAGCATGTATTCAATCCATCAGAAAAAAAACATGATATGAAGCATGTTTTCAATCCATCAGAAAAAAAAAACATGATATGAAACAAAATGTGTAATCCTTTGTATATTTTAGCCACATCTTATATTCTTATTCCATCAAAAGATGATAATATGATATATTGGCCCATTATGAGTGGAACATAATATTATTTGTATTTGATAAGTTATCCTCTTCAATCTGCAGCTTCGTTTTGTGATCCTCTCAAGAAGAGAGAAGACAAATCAGATTAGTACAGTGGTTTAAAAGGTGTGCCTCAAGCATGCCTAGGTACAGAGGCTGCACCTCGCCTTTGCCCGGGTGCAGCTACTTTAAAGATGTGTGCACCTTAGCTAAGTGTTGCACCTCTGCCCCCTGGACCCCGACTGAGCCCCTTAATTGCACATTCAGCCTTCTTAATACAAGACATTTTAAAAGATAAGGAATTATAATAAAATTGGATGGTTCATGTCAGCATTCTCTCTTTTGTTTTAAAAATATAAGAAACCAATCATTGCCTATTTTGATTAGACTAATAAATAGACCTAACAAAAAGTTGACCCAACCCGCGAACCCAACCCAACCCAACCCAAAAAAACAGGGTTAGGGTTTCATATTTAGCTACCTGAATGTGAAAATGACCTAACCCGACCCAACCCGGAAAAAACTGGGTTGAGTTGGGTCAGAGGTCAACCTGCTGACCCGATTGTCAGGTCTAATTGGAAATATTTATGCATTGTTAGAAGTTTCCACTCTTTAATTTTTTCTATTTAGTCTTTACTCTTTATTGTTTTACTCTTTGAATTGTTAAATGTTCAAGTTTTTTTTTTTATTTTATATTTGGAATTTTAAGGTTAATTCCTTTAATTTTGGCATTTTCATGTTTTTTTTTTAAATTTCAATTATTTTTTGGGATGACCCTAATTGACCCATGGGTTAGCATTTGACAATCCAACCCGAAATCAACCTGAAGTGCCTTGACCCAACCCGAGCCCGAACCACCCAACAAAATTGCCAAGTCTGCTAATAAAGCTGCACACTATTGGGGGGGGGAGAGATTATTTTAAAAATCCACTAAACTTACTAATAAAAATAAGAAATTTAAATACAAAAAATATTAATTGATAGTTTTGATAATATTATGATATAAATACGGGTTTGATATATTGCAAATAGAACCTGCGTTCTAATGTTGTATTTTGTTTTGTTTATTCTTTTTTATTTTTTTAGAAAACTTTGTATTAATATACTTTTAACTAATTAATTCATAATATTGTTAAAATTAATAATTTTTATGAATTGAGTTAAGACCTTTATCGTGCATGGTGATTGGTGCCCATACTACACAAGAGACTTACATAAAATAGAAGGCTCATTAAAAATGGTATAAAAAAATTAATGAAAATTTAAGATGTAGAACCCGTTTTATCAGTTATATGAAGAAAAGCTGAACCGTTTTGTCTAAAAACCCGTAATGTGTGATACACGACACATGTAATAATTGCTGTTTTAGATCAGTCAGCCATTTCTGGGACTGATCTCAGCCTCTTGTGTGYATCTTTTTCTTAATAAATATTACTTTACCTTTTCCAAAAATAAATAATAATAATATAAATTGAAACCTAATAAGTAATAGCTATAATTAATAAAAATTATAAAAGTTAATACAAATATTAAAATTTAACAAGTTTTTGTATAGGATAATTAATATTTGTAGGATAATTAGAATTAATACAAATATAAAATTAGTATAATTAATATTAATATGATAATTATAATTAATAATAAAAAGTAAAAAATTATAAAAAATAATAAAATAACCATTTATTAAAATATAAGATCATAATTATATTTTTATAAAAGTCAACATAGGTATTTATCTATTTTCTCCTTTTTTGTATTTTCTTTTGTTTTAAAAATATAAAATAATAATTATTGTCATTAACAAAGCTGTATATCATTAATATTTAAAGTTGCACACTATTACCAAGATATTGTATTATCAGAGGGAGAGAGATAATATTACAAAAGAGAGACAATTAAGAGAGTATTAATGAGAGTGAGTAGCATTTATATTATTAGAGAGAGAGGATGATGTAAGGATGTTTGGGTAGTTTAGGCTCCCCTTAAGGACTAAAGAACTCATGATACAAAACCCCTTAATTATTAAATATAATAATAATAATGTATAAATAAAATATTAATACAATATATTTTGGGGTAGGAAAAACAATTTTAGTTATAATAACATTACTACTAAGTAATGAATAAATAATAAGATATTAATATTAATAATTAAATATTAATATTATAAATAATTAATATAAAAATATTAATATTGATAGTTAATAATAAAATATTCATTATGAATACTAAGATATTAATTATTAAAGACTAATAAAATAATTATAATAAAGTACTAATAAAATAATAAATTGTTAATAAAATTGTTAGTTGATTCCAATTCCGACTTCAAATGAACCAAACAACTGCAATCGGAATCCAATAATTATGTATAAATATATTTTGTGTATAACTATATAAAGTTTATAATTGATAAATTTAATATTTTATATTTATATACATTCATTATATATATACTTTAAAAATAATTGGTAAAACTGTGTTAATTTTTGTCATTTTAAACACTATTAATTTTTGTCATTTTAAACACAATAAGATGATTACAGATTAAATGCGAAAATGATCCAAAGTCGAACATAATAATCAGATGTGAATGTAGATCTAGATTTCATAATCGAATGTAGATGCGGATTCATTTGGTTCTGATATGAATCCAAACCATTTACAATCTTACTATCTACATTGTGTGTGGTTGGTGTAGATCTGAGCTAGACCTAGCTCAGAAGAAAATAGTTGCTTGAGCCCGAAAATTTGTTGGTTTAGTTGGGTTTAGGCAAGTTATAAACGGTCATCCCTAAGTAGGAGTCTTGAGACATTTATAATTAGGTCATTACTAGTGGGGACTTGTGTGATGCACGGGTTTTGTTAAAACAATTTGAGGCAAAAGGAGCTAAGGGTGAAAGTTGGGTGGACCCAATCCAAGTCCAACCCTACTCAACCAAAACTTTTGCATAAGTTGGGCTTGAGTTTTTGAACTTCATGCTGGGTTTGGGCCTAACTAAACTCGGAGTAGGCTTAGGTTGAGGCCTTGGGTACTGATCCGATGCAATCTAAGCCTGCCCAACATTTTATGTTTTACATATCTATATATTATCAATCTATTTTACATGGAAATTGAGCTACAAAGATCAATATGCCCAAGTCCAAGCCTAGCCCAAGTAGGGATGGCAACAGAGTGGGTTCAAGAAGGGTTTTGTAAATTCTAGACTCTACTTGCCTCCCTAAACCTCCCAACCCGTACCCATAGCAAAACCCATAGTAGGTTGGATTTTGAGAATCTAAATCCACCCCACAAATGAAAATGTAAAACCCTCTTTGGCCCCACATTCAAGGATAGGGGTTTTAGGGTTTAGAACCCACATCTAATTTCCTATTATTTCTTGTTATATATAACTAATAAATAAGTAAAGTAACATAAATAAACAACAAAGTTTCCAAATATTTGATTAAGATGTAAAAAAACACAAACTATCAATTATCCTTCACATCAAAATCAAAATATTATTAAATTCAACACCTAGTATACAAAAGTTTAAATGCTTTCCAACAATATGTGGGTTGGGTTTGGCCTAGTACCATACCCTACTCATAACATACGGGTTGTAGAGTCCCAAGACCCGACTTGCCCCAAAACCCATTCTTCAAGCAAAAACCCGCCCTGTTGGGGTGGATACCCATCGGGTAGGGTAGAAATTGCGCCTAGGTTGGTAAGCTCGAGCTTAACCTTGAGTTGGGCCAAACCTAAGCTTGAGGTTTGAGACTTAGGATTGGGTTGGCCCTTAGTCCGACCCAACCCACCCAAGTTGCACCCCAAAAAAGAGGGTTGTGACATTCCTAATTGTATTAGTTTTTATTTTCTATTACATTGTTTCAACTTTTACTAATATTTTATTTAGTATTAGTTTTTATTATTTTAAATGGACTAAAGGATTTTAAATTAATAATAATTGAATGTAAAACTAATAATTTTATTATTTTTTTTTATTTTATAAAAAATGTAGTCTCATTATCAAATTATAAGATTTAATTTTGAAACTAGAATTAAACATGTATTAATTTATATTCACTTTCTTTTTTAAATAAAAAAATATTAAAATATTTTTTATTAATTTGTATCATTTTTATATATAATTTTGTATGCAAGAAACATGATTAATAATTTTCTGCTTTAACCAATAAAAGTAAATTATTAAATAACCCAGGTTAGGCGTACACAAAGTTAACTAACTACTAATTAATTAGTTTTAACTAATTAACTTAATTTAATTAAGCTAATGAAGTAAATTAGTTAAGGTACTCAAGTTAATTTAATTTAACTAACCTCTCTTTGATCCTAGCATGACCTACCTAAAGAAACTGAAGATCATGAACAAAAAAAAATCTGACCTTCTAATGGCACCAAGAAAAATTAACTCCAAGAACTCCCAAATCTTTTGTAAAACTTTGCCAAAAAACCTTTTAAAATAATAAAATGAAACATATCCTAACTTGTGCTCCAAAGAACAGAAGAACAAGATGACAGAATGCAACGAACAAAATGCAAATGTAGCATCAGCTATGGCACGTCTTCCCCTCATTGGGTTTACCCGGTCATCTTCTGTCAATCAACTACTGAAAGAGAGCAGGAAAGATAAAGAGAAGGAAAGAGTACAACAGAGTGAAAAGACGTTATGGGAACGAAATCAAGAGTATTGGAACTAGAGATTAGATAGAGCTGTAACTCAATTGTAGAAAGATTTCCTACTGTATTGAGTAGAAGATAAATAGAGAGAATAGACTGTAGAGTTTCAAATGTGGAAAGATTTCCTACTATATTCGGATAGAGGAGAGAGTTTGAAAGGTGGGAAGATTTCCTACTATATAAGGATTAGTTTCCTATTATATTTGGTTGGATTCCTAAAATCATGATATATATTATACATCTAATTACTTGGGTCCAAAGAGAAGATTGTTATTAATTAAATAAATACCGCTAATTAATTAATTAATTACTATTAATTAAATAAATACCGTAAAGAATAAATATGGTATTTATTTTAAATTTTTAGTAGTTATTCTATAATGATTTCAAAATAACTATTTTGAATTTCAGTAATTATTTGAAAATAATTAATTTCAGTATATATTTTAATTTTCTGTGATTATTTTAAAATAATTTCAAAATAAATTTTAAGTAAATATTTTAAATTTCAGTAATTTTTAGTGATTTTCAGATTTTTTGTAAATTTTGATAATTTTTAGCAAATTTCAGAAAATATATTCAACATTCTCTATTAATAAATATGGTATTTATTTTAAATACCATTATTGACATTTTCTATTAATCAAGAGTAACGCAGTGCCGAACACTGCCTCGATTGATATTCTCCATTATTGATTTGCTACATGGTGTATTGAAGATTTGTGAGTGGATTAATTAGAAGAAGGGTAGAAAACTAAGAGACGTATTGGCCTTGTTTTCCTACCCTATCATGTCTCCTCTCACAATTAGGTATTAGGGAATGTGAAGTAGTGGGTCAGGTATGATGATGTGGCTTCGTGAGAGAGGGAGAAGACACTGATGACATGGCTTCATGAGGGAGCAAGAAAGGCTAAAATGAGAGGGGCAGAGAGTTCTTCGTCGGAGTAGTGGAGAAAGCTTAGGCCACCTACGTGGCACCTTCTACTTTACTGTTATATAGATTAGTTTTAATATTTTAATTAAATTTTATAGTTTTTATATGGAATGCAAGTGATTTATTTTATTATATTTAATATTTTTTTTTACTTTTTATTATTATTTTATGAACTACTAATTTTTATTAATTTCTTAATTTTTAAAAGTTGCTAGATAAAAATTTGCTAAAATTTATTTTTATTTATTAGGTTTCGAATTACAGTTCTATGACAATTAACAATATAATAGGACTCGAATGTGAATAGGGATGACAATGTTCCCCATCCCATCGGGTACTCAACTGCCCCGACCCGATGGGACTGAGAATGTATATTGCCTTGTTAGGGATGGGGACGGAGATGGGTACGAGGCTTTGTTTCACAGTCTTAAACCTTGAGCTTGGACTTAGATTACTTTAATTATGACTAAAAAAGTTAATCTATAGATTAATTTAATTATAACATTTAATGATTAATAAAGTAAAATAAAACACTAACGGATGATATGAAAAAATAATTATTTATTGAGTAATTAGCAATAATTTATTATTTTTGTTAAAAATTATTAATATAATTAATCTAAATTATTAAATTATATTTAACAAATTACTAAAATTATTAATATAATTATAAGTTTCCATTGTTTCACTTTTCCTTGATACACGGGTCCTCGCTAGTTAAAAATATAAAATCAAACTTTTATGTATAATTAAGGAACATTTAATTCAGAATATATGTATATATTTTTAATTAATACTATTTTCAATATTTTTTATTTTTTAAATTTCCTGTGAATATTTTTTTTGTATTTTTCATTTTTTTGAGTTTTTTTTTTTAAATTTTTCGAATTGCCTGGAAAGGCTTGCAAAAAAGCCTCTTGCACTTTTTGTTTCCTTGTGCATTTTATTGTTTTGTTTTGTTGTGCCAAAATCAAGAACAATAAGCCCAGAAATGTTTCATGGTGAAAATATGTTTCCTTGATATGGTGATTGTGGTGGTTTTTTCATTGCAACTTCTGAGAATCTCTTAGTTATGTTTTTTTTTTTGATCAATAAATCTCTTAGTTATGTTTTGGCTTTGTCATTGTATTATCATTGTTTTCTTGGTTTCGAAACTTGAGTAGTCTAAAGTGAGCCAAGTGCTACTCATAATTTTGGCAATGGAATGCATTTTTAAATTTTTGGGGTAATTGGTGAGATATTTTGCTTTGTGTTTTTCACATCTTCTGGACTATAAAAAATAGAGCTTCTCAAAATATGGACCTTTTTTTGCTTTTGTGTTAACCAGGTTACTTAATTGAAGTTCATATTTCCTTTCCTAAACAAAGAGAATTCATTTGCCTTTTTTGAAGAGAAAGAGAGATTGTATTGATCTGGTTTATTAGGTTTGCCAAGGGATACATTATGAGTATCTCCCTTCTGATTTTGTGCTTTGTGCTGGTTAACAGATACCCTGCTAACATAACTCTTTTACGTGGAAATCATGAGAGCAGGCAACTAACTCAGGTATGCCTTCATATTAAACTGTACCCATTAGTCATTTTGTTATTAATCTGGCAATTTTGAGATTAAGTTTAAGCTGTATGCCAGGGAGTTTGTATTAGTCATACAATTGAATGGCTGTGTTCATGGCACACAGGTGGGAAGGTGACATTTTCCATTTGGTTTGTCAGAACTAGGAGACCTAACCAAGGGTACATGTAACTGGTTGATCCAGTGTTTTAGAAGGCGCACCTCTAGGCGCATAGGCGAGGCACATTTTGGGGTATGCGTCTCGCCCAGGTCCTAGGTGCACTCCTTTCAAAAGGCACACGCCTGGTGCACCTAGGCATGCGCCTGGTGCGCCTCAGCCTCAGCCTAGGCGTGTGCCTTTTTAAAATTTTGCACTTTTTGCTTTTTTTTTTGAGTTGAACGGTAGGGGGCGCAGTACAAAGGCGACTCATAGAATCAAGAATGCAATATGCTTTACATCACATTAGCTACTTGAAGCGATGCAATTAAAGAAACAATGCTTGAAAATGCTTTATATGTTTGCTTTTATTTTTAAATTTCCATTTGAATACTCTTTACATGTTATGCTTATGTATTTTAATTTTAGATAATAGGTTTTTTAAAACATTTATTTTAAAATTTATGTTTATATTTTTCATTAACATTATGTTTGATATTTTTTGACATTTTTTTTATATTTTCTGATTTTTTTTATATTTTTTAGCTTTTTTTTCTGTAATTTTGCGCCTTGCTTAAAAAAGGCATGCACCTTGTGCCTCAGGCAAAAATTGGCCCTTGCGCTTTTAAAACACTGGGTTGGTCATGTTTTAACCATAGGAAATACTGCATTGTTTGGTATCATAACATATGGCTAGAATCATCTCATGCAAGTAAAGACATGTTTACTCTTATGCCTTTGGTAAACTGTCTCTGCAAGTATCTCATATTTCCTGTTGCATTTCTCTGATATTCATCCATTATTATGATGCTTGACTATTATAATGTAGTATTTATTATTCAAGAAGTTTTGTTTGTCTGTTTGTGCCTTTTACTGCTTTTGTTTTCTTATTTTGTTTCAGTAGTACTTAGTCTATTATAGACATATTAGTTTTTAAGTTGAAAAAAAAACTTGCTATCTCTCTATTTGTTTGGAATTTGGAAAAGAAAATACTGCTGTCTTTTGGGTGGATTCAATGTTTTATCTTCCAATTTGCTGGAAAAGAAGTGTTGGTGTCTTTTTGTTGGGTTTTTAATGGCTGGTGATACTGTTAAGAAGCCATAAAGCATTGAAGCTTGGTTTGACTGGTGAAAACATTGGTTTCCTTCCAGTGAACCCCCCCCAAGAAAAAAAAAAAAACCCTAAGCGAGATGTGTTCTTTTGGTAAGCTTGTTAATTATTTGTGAATACCTATTTGCTGCAATTGGTTGAGTGCATATATTCCATGTCAGCTCAAAGTGCTTCTCTCGTATTCTGATCTTGACCAAGAGAAGAATGTAACCTTTTTGGTACAATTGCTGTACCTGCTCTATCTTTCTACTTGTCTGTGATAACCTAAATCCTTGGTTGCATTGACTATCAATTGAGATTATGGGGTTAAGTGGTTCACCTAGCTGTAAGATGCTTTCTGATGTATCATTTCTACTGTTAGGTATATGGTTTTTATGATGAGTGCCAGAGGAAGTATGGGAATGCTAATGCCTGGCGGTATTGCACTGATGTTTTTGACTACCTCACACTGTCAGCAATTATAGATGGAACTGTACAACTCCTTCCTAGTTCCTATCTTTCCTTTTCCCTCCTTTTCTTCTTGGACCACTAGTTTTTGGTATTCTTACCAATTCATCTGCTTGGAATTCTAGGTGCTTTGTGTCCATGGTGGCCTTTCTCCGGACATTCGAACTATCGATCAGGTTTTCCTTTTCTCTCTTGTCTTTATTGTTCTTTTGGTTAATAATTTGAGTATATTTTTGTGATCGTCCACTAAATTTGGATGAGCGGATCAACTACTTTGGTTGGAAGATCTTGACAATTTGTTAACCAGTGTTTTTGTTGACTCCATCTCCCTATCTATATCTTTCTATTCCTCTTTTTTTTTTTCTTTTTTCTAATTAATAATATACTGTTCAAAAGATGGCATTTTTCTGGATGACAGGATTGTTTCTTCTTTTGTCTTCTCTTCTTTGAGTGTGGCTTCAAGAATTGTGTATTACTTGGATGGTTACAGGTTTAATGGGGGCATCTACCTTAATGCCCTGTGCCAAGGCCACCAGTCAACCTGGTGGAGCACCTAGATGCATTTTTTTTTTTATGGTAAATGATTTATATAATCCCTGGTGTTTTGGTCAAATACTTGTGCCATCCTCAGGGTTTATCTAATAACTTATAATAACGTGTGTCCCCTTTGACCGCAAAACTACAACAGGAGTGGAGAGATGGAATTAAGACAAATAGTTATTTTACCAAAGTGTCCTTGATAATAATGTATTATTTTCCTTACAAAATATATATTTTGAAATTAATGAAAGTATCCTCATTTAATGAACACAAAATTCTGTCTTATCATTTCAAAATTTATTTTATTTTTTTCCTAAACCGACTAGGGTACTTTTCTTTCCCAACTGAATGTTATGGCAGAAAAAAATGCCCCGTAAAGTAGTTTAAATGAGGGTATTTGTTATCCATATAATATGCAAGAAGGTGCTAGAGAGGGTAAAATTGACTTTGAAAAAAAATTTATATATCACATACACTTTCCATCATTTACGAAAGTGGAGGGGTGGAATAGGTAACATCAAACTACAAGGTTATACTTGGTTAACCTAAAAGAATAGAACAAATGAGGATATTACTTGTTTGTTTATGAGTGATTTTTAAGCATCACTCATATGTACAAGTGTTGGAATTTGAAGAAAGGTTCAGGAGTACTTGTATTTCAGGAGCTCTGATACTACTATAACACATTACTATTGGCAAAACAAAGGGATGAACAGAAGTCAGATATACTGTTGTCAAATGGACAAATACTAGCTAAATCATTAAACTACAGGGACATTGTAGTAGAAGGGGATTCACAAGTAGTAATATGGTGGCTAAAGATTAAGAAAACCGGGTCATGGAAACAGATGTATGTGATGAGGGAAATTGCTAAACTTGCATCAAAGCTCGGGGTGGTTTACAGGTGCTGAGAGTGGCTAACTTTTTTGCTGATGGGTTTGTAAAAGAGGAGGTTTATAGAGGAGAACCTTTTAGAGTTTAATCCCCAAAGGGTAACGATTCAGCTATCTTATATGAGATGGCTAGCTGAGGCTAACTTTTATAATATGGATCCCTAATGTGGAGGTTTGAGAAGGAGAAGGATCCTCTTTGGAGGAGAGTAGTTCTAAGCAAATGTGGAGTGTTGAGTTTTGAATGAGATACTACAGAAGTATCATCCTCGTATGGGATTAGCATTTGGAAAGGAATTATAATGTATGAACCAGAAATGACTAGATTCACAAAATTCATGTAGGAGGAAGGTAATAGGGTAAGATTTTGGGAGGACGAATGGTTTGGAGATGTAAAGTTGTGTCTATGCATCAAGTTCTAAGAACATTTCAATGAGTCATTGTTTTGAAAAGAGAGGATATTAGATTGTATGACGCTTAACTTTCAGACGCCCACTGTTATTTAGAGAACTAGTAGACTGTGCTGCCTTGTTTGCAAAATAGGAAGAAGTAAAGCTAGACACAAGCAAACTTGATATGAGATGGTGCAAAGAATTCAGAGACATAAAATTTATAGTTAAGTCTTTTTATAACACTTAGACAAAAGGGGTTGTTGGAAGATATTATGGCGTTTAGGGAAACACAATCCCACCAAGGTAGGTATACTCATGGGTTAGATGCTTCTAAGTATTTGTTTAATGTGCAATAGTTATGAAGAAGACATGTCTCAACCTAGGGATATATATATATATATATATATATATATATATATTTGATAAGTAAATAGAAAAGTTTCATTAAATCAAAACAAAAGAAAGTACATCCAGCACTCGTATTGTGAGTGGTATGGTAAGGCTACATGCAGGGGTCTCCTTGAAGGACGAAGGAAGGCTGAGGGCAAAGGGTAGGATAAAGGCTCTGATTGACAGAATGATGTTTTCGTTACGACTTGGACCTCTATTTATAGGGAGAGATCCTGAGGTCTTGAAAGGAAGGAACCAAAAGCATTTAACTCCCATTAGGAAAGGGAATCTTCGATTCGGTGTCAGTTGTCAGGGAACACCGCTAGGATTTCACCATGTGTCTTATGAGATATCTCAAGGACGATGTTTCCTTTCATCTGAGGATTCTCATAATACACGTATACTACTTCCTTTTGTGAGTCTCATAGGCTAACGTGGCACGAATGATGTCAATAATCTCACGTGTCTTTTGATCTCACTAGGCATTTTGTCACGCACGACATCAGTGAATCACGTGCTTTTGCGTCTGTCTCTGACATGCAATGGACGTGAGCTCATCGCAGGTTTGTAATGGCTTGAGCTCATCGTGGATCTGAGCTCATCGCAACCTTGTGATGGTGTAGGTACATGTTGATCACCACGACTGTGGTAGCATTAAAGGTGCTAAACCGATTGTGAAGGGACACCTGTGACGAGTTCATAACTCGACACAGGTTTGCGATGAGCTCAAAGTCTGCACAGACTTGTGATTAACTCAAAGCTTGAAATGAGCTTACGATGAGCTCAAGACCACCACAAGCATGCAATAGAACTCAAAGCTTGAAATGAGCTTACGATGAGCTCAAGACCACCACAAGCATGCAATAGACCCACAGCCTGAATACCAAAGACAAACTCAGAGCCATCGCGAGCCTGCGATGAGTATAAAGCCGTTGCGAGGCTTTGATGAGCTTAGATCCATCTTAGATCTGCGATGAGATCAAAGCCATCACGAGCCTACGATGAGCTCACGTTCATAGTAGGTCAGAGACAGATGAAGAAGCACGTGATTCACTGACGCCGTGCGACTGAGTGCCCAGTGAGATTAAAAGAAATGTGAGATTATTATTGACGTCATTCGTGCCATGTCAGCCTAGGAGACTCACAAAAGGAAGTAGTATATGTGCATTATGAGAATCCTTAGACGAAAGGAAACCTCGTCCTTGAGATATCTCATAAGACACATGGCGAAACCCTAGCGGTGCTCCCCTGACAACTGACACTGAATGAAAGATTTCCTTTCATAATGAGAGTCAAATGCTTTTGGCTCCTTCCTTTCGGGACCTCGAGATCTCTCCCTATAAAAGGAGGTCTATCTCATAACGAGAACACCATTTTGTCCATCAGAGCCTCTAGCCTACCCTTTGCTCTCAGCCTTCCTTCGTCCTTCAAGGAGACCCATGTACGTAGCCTTACCACCCTACTTACATTAGAATCTTTGGTTCTTCCTTGATCACGAAGGATGGTCGCCCGTAGGATTAACCTTCTACCCATCCCTAAAGAACATATTGATGAGTAGGTCGACATTGAGATCCTTTCTAACAAAGTGTATGAGTTCGAGTCTCAACCCAAACCCCAACATGAATGAACACTCGACCAGAGCCAATCCTATGCCTGCACAAGATACGACACAAAGAACCCGCTTTTCCACCGTGGAGCAACCCCGTGTCACCCCATAAATCAACCCAACGACGGAAGAACCCATCAGCCGTGACGAACTAAGGAGTATGTCCAAGGCCTGATGGTGGAGAGCCAAAACAGAGTCCAAGCCTTACTTGTCCTCCAGAAGCCTTACTTTAACCGGATCTTATACAAACCTTACCCCATCGGTTATGTCTCGTCCCAGTAGTGGCCATAGTATGATGGGTAGAAAGGGAGCCCGCAAGAGCATGTGAATAATTTCGAGGACGCCTTGGGGTCGTTTGCCTTGGATGGAGACCTGAAAAGTTAGAGAGTTCACCAAATCATTGACTGGACTTGCATACACCTGGTTTGTCAATCTGACCACGGGTAGCATAAACTTGTGGGCAGAGTTGGCAAAGAGATTCTTGTCAAAATGGTTCACTTCAGAGCAGAGATTGATGGCAAACCTACGCAACACAGAACAGTGTAGGCGAGGACCTCTTGGCTTATGTCACGAGGTTCCAAAAATTGACTCATTCTGCTTTCGATGAACATGCCATTGAGAAGAGTTTTGTTGGACAGTGCATGTAGGGCATGCAACTACCCTACAAGATAAACATTGAGAACATCGAGATCGAGACCTTCAGCCAGTTGTGGAAGTGAGTGGAGAGGATGACGCACTGTCAAGAGTACCACATCCTAGTCCACCTCGACATCATCACAGTATGGAAAGAACGAAGCGTATGCTATCGACAAGAGGCCTCGGAACAACAGGGGGCCTAGCCAGGGGCCCTATTACCGTGGCGACAACCAAAAGAAATAGCTCGCTACCTCCAACTACTCCTTTTGCTTGCACCAAAGATGAAGTGATAATGATAATGAACAAGTTGGTGGAGGATCAGTTGATCAACCTGCCACCACCACCACCAGGAGTTGACCCTAAGAAAGGGAGGCATGAAGGGAGATGGTGCAACTTCCACCAGTCGCCGAATCATGACATGACCTAATGGACTGCTTCTCACTCCGACAGCTGTTTTGAAGGGAAGGGAGATCCATCATATGGATGACCGAACCATGTAGGGTGGCTGGGTGAAATTTCAAAAATTTACTTTCTCCCTTCCAAGAATCTTATTCCCCGATTTAGAAAAACTGCATTTTTCAAAAGTTCGTTCTTGAAACAAACCGGACCAAATCTGAAACCAGGATTAAGGGAGGGATATACTTGATACGGAATCAACAGTAGTTCCCAACGCAGGTGTTTATGCCTGAAGAGTCACCAAATCCTTCCTCCACTGAAGATGA